ATGAGAAACGATTTCGCTGAAGAAGAATCCAGACAGCGAAAGGCGTACGGGAAGAGGGGGTTTAGCGTGGGTGGGTTACGGCAAATGCAGTGACGACGAAGTTAAGACCTTTATGCAATTAAATCAAAGGTAGTGGAAAACGAATGCATGAAGAAACAATTTCTTCGACCAAAACTTCCAGAGAGCAAAAGCCGCACGGGAAGAGTGGGTTACGTGACAAATGCAGTGAGGACGAAGTTAGACATGCATGCAATTAAAACCAAAAGTAGTGGAAGACGAATGCACAAAGAAACGACTTCGATCAAAAAATCCAGGCCGTGAAAGCTGCACGGGAAGATTGGGTTACGCGAATGAGGCAGTGAGGAGGAAGTTAGACAAGCATGCAATTAAAACCAAAATTTAGTGGAAGCCGAATGCACAAAGATCTCTCTTACATGCATGCTGGAAAAGACGAAACAATTGGGGAACCACCCGAATGCGGGGCACATCTCTTCATCACAACTTATGCTGGAAATTGGATCTGTATGTTCTCGTGAGGGTGTCCCGTGGGGGCTACACTGGAACGAAAAAAAAAAAAAAAAAAGAAAAAAAAAAAAAAAAAAAAGAAAACAGCGTAAACTTCCGTAAAGTGTGTGGGATGGGTGAGCAGGAAGGACTCCACGAGTTCTTTTTTTTCAGGCCTTGTCGTCAATGCATCTAGAACTCCACCAGTACCTCCGAGCACCCTTGTTTGCCAATGCGGATTACCCCTGAGCACAAAGCTTTGCCGAAATGCCAGCTTGACGCTCCTTTTATATCTTGGTTGTTTTTTTTCGCCTGGTGCTGCCAGCCATTTTGGTCCAACAGCCCCAAGCCTCTTTAACTTTTCGGGTGGGTACCTTCTTCCCCCAAATACAATGTAAGGTCATTATAGCTGTATTTGAGGCTTCTTTCAGTCTAGATACAGCTGTAATGACCGTACGTTGTATTTGGGGGAAGAAGGTAGGTTTCAATTCTAAAGTTTGTCCGGGCGAGGTACTGGTGGTTTAAAGCAGCCAATCCTTCTTTTCACTAAACCTCGTGTGCCTGGCGGCTCCAGGCAGCTTGAGAACAATGAGAAACAGACTCTCTTCGAGTAATCCGGAGGCTCGCGGCAATGGACCGGAATGGCTGGTGGATACCGAGCCAAAATGAAACACCATGCTGGCATTTCGGCGAAGGTTGGCGGGCAGGCAGGGGGAATCTGCCTCGTATAGAGAGGGGCCTGGATGTACTGGCGGTTGAAGTCGTGAACAATTTTCTGCTGGCGTTAGAGCCAGGCCAATCCCCACTCTGCCTGGTCAAAGGGGAGTTGGGCTATGGGTGTGGTGGTCCCACGTGTATAGTAGCGTTTTTTCTGGGGGCCCTACTACTCTCACCAGCAGCCTTTCCCCCCCCCGCACAGGTTTGGGAACCTTCCTCTGGGCAGTTGGGCCTCGTAGCCTTCTAGCTCACAGGACCTGTTATTATTATTTTCCTGGACCTTATAGACGACGAGGGCGAGGGGTAAATCTGAGTATCTACCTACCCATTCATCTCGTTGGAAAATCGGTCCGTCCTGCAGAGTGAGGAGTGAGCCGCCAAGCCAGAGGGAGGGCCTCCCTTAGCGGGCTTGATGTACCTTGGCTCGACAGAGTCGACACATATATGTAAAGGGACCCTGAAGGTCCCTGGACCTGGTTTCCAGCAGGTGCAGCTTCCCACCAATTGAACTGAGCCCCTCAACAAAAGCGGGATTGATGGAGGGGGTGTCCTGATCCTACCGCCCACACCCGCAGGCGATTTGAAAAAAAAAAAAAAAAAAAAATCCCCTCAAAATGTATCTTTTTGCACGGTAATCTGTCCACCCTTCCGCTGGGTCACCACCCTCATTTCATTGAAGTCGACCACATTCATCACCTACATTGGGAGAAATGCATGGGGCTTGGAAGAATGGGCGGCGAAATTGGTATATTTATGAGACCTATACAAACAAAAAGAGAAGCTACATCTTCAGAAAAGAATAGTAAACGTAGTGCACCTAAATCGATAAATAGCAGTATTAATACGGAAGTGTTTCGAGGATTTCGAGCATCCCAAACCCAAAAGGTTCCCCACATAGGTTTTCCCCCCAAGACTTCTAGTAACTAGAGTGAAGAAGGTGAACAAAGCGCCCAGGCCCTGGTGAGCTTGACTCGAGTCTTACTCTGTGAAATGACCTGAGAGAGGCGTGCAATAAGTGGGAGCTTCACAGCACGTGTGAAATACTATTTTACTTGAAAAGTTGAAAGCCAAAGAAAGGGAAAAACAGAAAGCAAGTGCATTGAACCCCAGCTGGGACAAGCTTTCAATGCCTGATAGGCAGAGCGTCGGCTGTTATCCAAACCGAAGTAACTCTACCGAGTCCTGCCCTTTCCGTATCGCCGGCCCCTCCGTTGTCCACGGAAGCCTTTCTCTTTTGTGTTTTCACTGTAGTAACTTTACATTCATTGCCTTTTACAGC